TGAAGCACAGCCGAATTTACAGGAAGTTGGAGTTTGCTTGAACACGAGTCTTAATATACTATACGAGTGTTACCTGTGTTTGAGTTTTATCACCGTGCCTACATCAATGGCAATCTAACCGAGCGCGAAACTTTAAAAACTCGGACAGTCCATTTTTTTCTCTTTTGTGATTTTCGCCACTGCTTATGTTAATTTCGTCAACGATGGCCCTTATCATTTGCAAACCTTTGTTTTGTTTTACTATTACTACTTGCTGGCTCGCTGCTCCGAAACTTTCCCATGTATCTCCGTGTAATTAATGCTGTTATATGCAGGTTTATCTGTATAAATTGAAGGCAAGAGCTCGTTTTAATATCAGCTTTACAGGTCATGCAAAACTTTAATGTCAGTCAACGAAAAAGAGGTAGGGAGAATTCCGAGAAAGAGTTGGACATTTGTAGAAATTGGCAGATGGCGTGACTGCTTTACCGTTACGTTTTTCACTCTGGTCAAACACGCTCCTTCAACCAATGAGAGCGTTCGCTATATCCGAAATACATTATAATAACCAGTGAGGGCTGTTAGAGTAAATATCCAGCCATCTAACTAAGCAGTAGATAGAAAAGAAAATATTTCTTTACCAAAACATTTTCTAGGCGAAGGTCACCGTGAACACATCCATCAAACATACTGTGGATCAACATCAGTGCGTCAATGATTTGCTCTGCCCATTGATTCACACTCATCATGGCCATAGGTTTTTCAGGCTGGGTGATCAGATAGCTCTTTAAATCCGGTCCCGGACACTCCATCACAAATGCAGCCTCATGACCTCTTGGGACTTTCCTGAATACTGCGCCGTAAAATGCAACAATATGAGGATGCTGAAGCTGTCTGATGATCAAATAAGAAATTAATATAAAAGCTCTAAATTTTGCACCAAGTAAGAGAGACGAAGGAAAAGAATTAGCAAAGGTAGAACAGAGATATATCAGAAGTGAGCTGCTCAATGAAGTGAAAACGAATGGAAAATCTGGATGGCAGAATTTAAATGGATTTTAGATAAAGAGACTAATAATTTTTCAGCCATTTTGATATTTTTTAACTGAATTCCATCACAGTTTGCTATGAAAGCAAGGTCGGAGTATTAGACACAATGATCTAATGTATTCCAGAACGCATGGAGTTGCACGTCATACAAAGAATGCAAATATTCATGTCAGAAGGCACGAATTGTAGCACTTGACTTACAATATCGTGACATTGATAGTGTGGAGAGAATATCCTTATGTTACAATTACAACAAGACTCTATTTTATAACAAAATTTAAATTGTAATCTGTCAAATATATGGAGGAATATTATTTAGTTATTGTTGTACCTCAGGATTGATTCATCTGTCAAACACTCAGTAATACTGCTATTGTCCAGTAGTTCCTTGTACACATTAAAGGTTAGTAAACAATTTGATGAATATCTTCCGCTGGAAATGCGCCCTTGGTAAAGGCCAGGTTTCATGGAATACTTGAAGTCCACCTCTTCACTGACATCCCACGAAAGGTCATCCCAGGCGATCCACATGCTCCGGATCTACAAAGAGCCAAACAACCCGAGTTCACCGCGCAGACTGTCGCATTTGTCTCTACGGGGCTGATAAAGAGCTACAGTTTCTTTCTTGCTTTCTGCCTCAATGAAAAGTTGCTCACAAAGTTTTATGTCGGCCTCAACAAGCATGGGGACTTTTGCTTGTAGCTCATTTAGGGTGGACATGGGGTGCCCTAACTGCCTCTCAACCAGCGGCTCAAGCGTCTCATAGTTTGCAGCTTTCGCCAAAAACTCTTGAGAGATTTTTCGCACGAATTCAGATCGATCTTTATGGTAGGCATCCTTCCTTTTCCATTCATTCATATTGTAGACAATGGATTTTACTCCCGCTTATGGAAGATAAAGCAAAGTTACTGGAACAGCCAACGCAGCTAATACAAGCGCACCTGGAATCATGACAGGGACCAAGATTTCGTGGGGAACTTTACCTTCAAACGGAAGAGAAAAGTTGTATATACCGTTAAATACCTGTTCTTTCACAGGTTCCCATGTCTTGTCACCATCTACGTGTACTCCTATTTGCGAAACGCTGACTTCTATGTTCCGAAGCTCTCTTTCGAGGTAATTGTACTTGCCGAGGAAACAGTCGACCACAAATTTCCGTGCCCCGGCAAAATGTTGGTACTGTTCTTCCCATTCTTCAATAAACATTTGTAATCTTCTTTGAAAAAGCTTTTCGATGGCAGCCTCAGCAACTTCCCATGACTTTTCGACAGCCGGGAGCTCATCCGAGTTCCACTTGCCAAAACACTCCTTTACTTTGGGACTATTTAGGTGCTTGATTAAGGCTTTGATGGCTTCGTGGGTCTCATCTTTAAGAAGTTCCGCGAAATCTTTCTTTGATGACTCCTGCTCCACTTGAAGTTTCTTTAGCCTCTCTATAACAACATCACATCTCTGTCTTGCAGCCACATGGTCAGTGGTGACATTTGTTATGAATAAATTCATCAGCCAAATGACACGAGAAAGCAGATGATACAGCCAACTAAACAAATCGAAAGAGAATGGAATGAAGTTAACCACAAATCAAAAAAGTGGGGGGAGGGTAGGGAGATAGAGGGGGAAGGGGGAGAGGGAGATTATTTTTTTATTCATTTCAACATTTCCTAAGGACGATTTTAATCAAACAAGCTCCTCAAACTGCATTCTGTAAAAAAATAAAAACTCGCGAACGATCGGGTGATTTCCTTTTGTAAATACCTCACTAATGAAAAACTTATACTATCAGTCAATGCTCTCGTAAAAGCACGACTGGACTACTGTAACAGCATCCTCTATGGTTTACTGAAACGGGAACTTGACAAAATTCAGAGAGTTCAAAACACTGCAGCAGGTCTTGTTATCGGATCTAAACAATATAATCACATCAAACTTGCTATTAAGTCAAAAACTACACTCGCTGCCAGTTGAATCACGTTTAATGTTTAAAGCGCACCTAACCCCCAAAATATTTTACGCCAAACGAAAAAAGCGGGTTTTTTTGAGTATTTCCGTGCAAATTTTTTTTCAATCGGTCAAATCCTCGATTTTTTGTTTTCCTCCGTAGTGCAACTCGAAATGGCTCACGACCACTTATAGGAGATCTGGGGAGAGCAAGGTTGTGACGTCAAATCGAGAACGACGCCAAGTTGCTCTCACTCACAACTCTGTTCTTCGGTATGTTTTGACAGCTTTCTACAACGAAAATAAATTATCTTGGGCTCCGTAGTCAACAGAATTCTGAAAAGATTTTACAATGTCCTCCACTTCGTCGGATTCAGAGACGAGCTTTGACTCAGGAGACTCGGAAATTTTATCTGTGGACACGAGATTGAAGCCGAACAGGACGTGTTGTGCGAGTCTCCTCAGAGTTCATCGCTAACTTCGAGTGATGACGAAGCTGCTGCTTAAGCTGACGACCTACTGGCCGACACAGAATGGACATCGAACTACCAAAAGCAGGTATATGCTGAAAAAAAAAAAAACTCGAAGGAAGACTTAAGGACCGATTAGAAGGCAACGTAGAACTCCGTGAATGGTTAGATTCACACGTGTTAAAATATTTTGTTGTGTTTTTCCTCCGGCTCTGTCAGACGGCTGTTTTGTCAGCTTCAACGATCGTGGAAAGACGTTTATTTTATAATTATCTCGCTTTAACCACGTAGTCATAGGGTCCATTGGTCTTCTGAACAAACATCCAATTGCCGAACAAAATCCTCTGCTTTAAAATGCTTTGAACAGACGACCGAAATCTTGGATGGTTCCCACTTCGCGCGTTTTAACTTTACGAAGTCCACCCATCTCTTCCTGCGTTTTTTCGCCTACGGGTCAATCGTCCCTTTAAAATGGTATCGTATGTAGTGCAATACCCTCTTGCAAATTTCGCACGTTGCCACATCCTCCTACAACACACCTAGTCGGCACATTTTCGGGCAATATGGACTACAACCTTCCCAAACAATGATTAAAATGTGCGAAATTCAGACTTTCGTGTTGTCGATTTGACGTCATTTTCCCGCTAGTCCCATTTCTCTTTAGACTCGGTCGTAAGCCAAAATGGCGGTGTTTTTAGTCCGATTTTCCGTTCTTTGACTGGGCACAGAAAATCGAGGATTTGACCGATTCAAAAACAATTTGCACAAAAATGCTCCAAGTAAAACCCACTTTTCTCGTTTAGCGAAAACAAATTTGGGGACTAGGTGCACTTTAAAGTTATTCATATTACTTTTAAGATTCTTCATGGACCTTCTCCGATCTATTTGCCATCCCTGCTACAAGAATATCATCCACCACGTACTCTATGTTCATCTTCCAAATTACTTCTTACTGTCCCCTCTATAAATTCTGTGACATACGGTGAACGTGCGTTCTCTTTCTGTGTACCTACATTATGGAATACTCTTCTTGATTCTCTTAAATCTGCAGCTTCTCTTTCGTCTTTTAAATCTGCCCTTAGAACACTCCTATTCCGGAAATTTCATATTTATTTTTGTGAAACACTACATACTAGGTTTTTATCCCGTTGAACTTTATTTTTTGTTAGTGTAGGTACTACTGACTGTTAGTATCATTGTTATTTTTTATCTTTATTATGCTATGTAAGCGCATTGAGATCCTTAAATGCGCTCATAAAATCCTTACTATTATTATCATTATTATTATTATTATTGCTCGCTTTGTTTGTAAGGCAAATTGAAGCACCAGATAATGAATGATCGCTTGGTCTTTTACACATTGACAAAAAACACATTAAAATATGATTTTATATACCTCCAGTGTTGTTCAAGTCTTGTTTCGATGCTTTTCGTTACCAGACGGCCAATCTTCTCTGTAAGGGATGCAAATTCTGAATTCATGACTCCAAACTTCTGGGCGGCAAGAGCTTTAGTTGTTGAAAGGCGGATGATTTGAGTATTTTTGTCGAAACCTGGTAAGCACTGACTCAACTTGTTAATTATGTGCGCTATGACCTCAGTTCTCTCCTCAGTTGGTATGGTGTCCCATTTGTTGCAAACGAACAAGGTGCAGTCTGGTGAGAATTCCATTTGCTGATCAATCGTGAGATACCTCGTTTTGTGCAGAAGATTCACAAGCTGACAGAAAATGCAGATATAAGATACGAATGAAAGTTCAAAGTAACAGAAAAAGGAAATTACCCTTGCATTTTGCATTCAGCTGAGCTAACAAGTTAACAAAAGGCTGTTACTTCCTTTTTGTTTGGTTCATAGTAAACCTGTAGGCTTTTTGGGATTTATTTCAATACTACTTAAGTATTGTTCTTAACCGGCGATGATCACTCTTAAGATCAATTATTAACCCGCATGTAAAATTACATCTATTAAGTATTTGCATTCGCTCAATTTTTACTCACGGTTTTAGAGAAAAACTGATCTGCAGCCATTTTGCTTATTAATTCAGTTGAAAGAGCAGTGCACTGGTATCGCAAAGGTGCAGTGCAAAAGAAGAAGTCTAACAGCGCGGGTGAGAGTTGCCTATAGCACTAAAGACCGTGTGACTTGATCAAGTTTAAGTAACCATCAAAACTGAAGAAAACATACAGATATGCTAAATAACTCTAGAAAAAGAGTGGAAGAAAAACGCAAAAATGTACAAAACTTACGCCTTTTAAGGCTGTAAAAACACATGGCTTGTTTTACGACTAACTAACACTCATGTCTCAGACTGGTTCTGTAACGCAACGCTCCCCTACATTAATGGGAATCAGAAGCAAAACACACACACATATGTCACTTTCTTCTGTTTGAGCTGGCTCTTAGGGTGGGGATAATCCTGTTTAGTTGCATCTTCTTGAGCACGTAGGAGCACCAACTTATGAGAAGGTAGATCCAATAGTTTACGTCTTCCATTTTCGCTCACTGCGAGTTAAACTTCATGGACTTCGACATCCTTACTAGAGAGGACCTAAGAGACTTGAACGACCAGCTACCGGTTTTATCGAAATGTCGGATGACGTGTCCTTCTTTACGTTGTCTACGAGGAGCACTTTGCTTTTGTATCTTGTTAAGTAAGGCCAGGCGCTCTGCACGTTATCGTACCTAGAAGTGGTTAACTACATGTTCATTGAGTGTGTTGATGCAAAGCCTTGTTGGTTGGCAATCCAGGCGACCTGGGCCTTCGCCTCATACCATGACAAAGCATATGGAATATAATTCAGGTTGTCGCTCGGTTCTTGACATGTTGCCTACGACATGGTGTAGACCTGTTGGACGGATCTACGTGAACACGATGGAAAGTTTGCATTAACCTCAGGTGGGGGAAATATCCTCCTTATGGAAACGGGTTTGGATTTCAGTAAGCGAGTTTAACCGGCCTGGTTCTTGTGGAAGGTTTCTGTTAAATGATTTGTTAAAAAAAATGACAGCACTGCAATCAAAGATAACCGCACCTGACCAAGTTTCTTTGGGATGATTCACATCAATGTGTGGTAATTCAAGTACCAATTTTTTTTCTGTGTACGCCAGAAAGCTCGTCTGTAGGGACACAACTGGCTTGTTCGCGGTCTAACAAATCCTACATAATTTCGATGAAATAACCTTTTGCTTTCTTGCTGGCGCTTAACTTCTTCTTTGGTGAAAAAGTGCCTTTAAGAGATCACATTGCCTGGCTATGTCAGGGTGTAGCGATATTATGATGCATTGCTGGGATAGCTTCTCGAGCATCTGGGTAAGGCTTTTTACATGGTAATGTTCTCCATTCACACCTTGGATCTGTAAACCTATACTAGAACACTTTGCATTCCAACAGTATTTGAGCCCAGTATCGTGTTCACCTTTAGGTCTATTTCCTGTCCGTCGACATTTAATTAATTCAGTCGCGAGTCGCTCAAGAAAACATAAGTGCATTGGTCACCTAGTAGAGCATATGTCAGCGTCTCTTTTAAGGGATCGTATCGGTCGGATAATTTTAACAACCCTATGATTGCACATATATTGGCAGGTCCTTCGTGGCAAACTTGAATACAGGCTGAATATACGGGCCTGATCTGAGATCTGTCCCAGATGGATCGTGAAGAGATGTTGAGTGTTTTATTTCATATATTTTATATTTAAATAGATTCTTAGTCTAGTCGTGAAATGCTCGTTCGCTTGCACACAGTGGATCGTATCGGTCGGATAACTTTTAAGGCCCATTTTCAACCAAGATGCCTTGCGCGCCCAGATCATTTTTCATATATGAAAAATACGCTATTTTCCTCGAAGTTGCGGAGTCGCTTTGATATCTTCTTCCATCTTACTAATTAGGGCTTTCAAAGTTCCATCTTGAATCATGTGCGAACAACAAACTATCGCAGTATCCATATCAGTAAATAGTTTTAAATTCTTACATGTATGACGGTGAAAACGTCATTTGAAAAGTTGATGCCGCCGAAGAAGCGGTATAGAGGAAGGCCGGATCTTCCCGGCTCGGCAAAGGATATTCGACTTCGAGAGTCTGTGTATGATCAGTATGGAGGGCAAGGAAAACAACAATGGGTTTCGGTAACACTACAGACAGTGATTTTGCAGAAATATTATTGCATTGTTCCTACGATGGAACTAGAGACTCCAGGGAGATTTTTTCCAGGTGAGAATAATTATTTGACTGATTTTTACTTGAGATCCTGAGATATGTATGTAAGCGATCTCATTTGTACAAGTCATTATTCTATAATTGAAATGCGTAAAGTAAATCAGTTGTGACCAATATTGGTTATTTGTTTGTATTTTATTTAGTGTTGAAGCCGAACAATCTCCTTCAACATCAAGTAAGCTTTGTACAAGTCTTATACAAAGACTCGATTTATGATTTTTCGGTCTCAAATATTTAGCTGCAAATTTGTTTACTGTATTCTTCTCCAAATCTTTGTTTTTCTTTTTAATAGTGTTTGCGAATGACTATCAGAGTTCGCCATTTAACAATAGCGCGATTCCAAAATAAAAAAAAAAACGACTGCAAAGGATCTCGGATGAAAATGGGCCTTTAACAACCCTATGATTGCACATATATTGGCAGGTCCCTCGTGGCAAACTTGAATACAGGCTGAATATACGGGCACAGTGTTAGGAAGTCTCTTCGTCTTGGATCTTTCACGGAACTTTTGACAATCATCGAGAATGTGAGACGTGACTCTGTGGAAAACGAAAAAGCTGGCTTGGATGCTGCAATAGTGCCATTGATTCGAGGCGAATTAATTGTTGATCGATTTTCGACGGACTTCTTTTCGTCTGTGCTTTCGTTACAAGGCTACAAAGGCTGAAACTGATTGGGTATAATTACGACTCTTATAGCTTTGAGATTCACTACAATGCGATGTGCTCACTGTGTTCTTTCGATCTAACCAACGCTAGATCTAGANCAGTAGCTCCTACGCTTACCATATTTGTAGATTATGGTATATTGGCTGATATATCATAATGGCTAAGCCAATAAAAAGTCTTGCATTGCATTATCCAATGATCTAGTTTTTAATAAATAGTATTATTACATAAAAAAAGAACGCACAGTTAAACTAAGAATTGAACTAAGTTATTCCATGTATATATTATAATGAGAATACTTAATTACAATTATAAAAATGATAATTCTGGTAATTTCAAACAGTTACATAAATTCATGCTTCATAAATGTTTTCGTAGGCTAATTTGTGGCTCAAGTGGTTCGGGTAAGACTAATTTGCTTCTTGATATGATCTATCGACTTTTGTATTCCGATAAAATCTTTCTCTATGCCAAAAACCTTGAACAAAACAAGTATCAACATTTGATGAAAACATTTGAGCCAATTTCAAAAGGTGCAGGTTATCCCGTTATTGAGACTAGCAATGATCAAATTATTCTTGTATCTGAAATGGATAGTGAATCACAGAAATGTGTCATATTTGATGACTTTGCATGTGAAAAGAACCGTTCTGTTGTTTACTTAAGCCAGAGTTATCATAAAACACCGAGGGATATAAGACTGAACTGCACCCATTTTTGTATTTATGAATTCCCAAGCACTAATTAACGAAATATGATGTGCAGAGAAACTGGAATTCCAAAAGACATATATCAAAAAGCAACACAAGATCCTTATTCATTCGTATATATCGATAGGCCAAGAAAAACTATTTCAAAGAACTTCAATGAAAAAATATAATCTAGATAATGTATATAATAAGTTATTCATGCTGAGAATTTGCAGAAAGTTCTTTAAACTTCAGAAACGCGCGGCACATGTAATTCTCGGAGCTGACACTAAAGCGAATAGCGTACAACTGTTTAGGAAATTGGATTGGGCTCCATTCTTTCATGAGGCAAAAGTAAATAGGTCACTAATGGTGTACAAACGATTGTCTGGGGACTGTCTACCTTATATGTCCTAAATGCTCGTAAGAAATGCAGACATAAATGAAAGATCAAGCAGACATGGACAACTAAACCTCGTCTGTCCCCGATTCAAACGGGAGTCAGAGGGCGGTAGGTCTTTCACAGAATCGACCTCATGCCTCTGGAATACCTTACCACTGGACATAAGAATGAAACCTACTATCAAATGTTTTAAGAAGGCCATGTTAGATTTTTTTAAGAATAGTTATAAACGATTAGAACATTTTATCTTATAGTTTTTATAAACTTTGTAATTTTAGATTTTTAGCTCTTGATCTTTTTCCATAATTAATTAGTTTTTAATCTTTTT